GATAAGCCCTCCCCTTGGGGGCGGGCTGCCCTCGGGCGTATGTTTACTGATATATTGGGCGGGCAGAGGCTGCGCGCCCCTTCCCTTCCTCTCCTGTCTCCGCCGGCTACTCCGCTGGAACCTTGGTTTCGTGAGTCTGGTTTTGTTATTAAACTTGTTCAAATACCTATTACCTTTGGTGATTATTAATCCGACCGCTGCAGATATCCAAGGTTGTCTTCTAGTGTCTACATGCATGTTCACCCATGTTTGCACATACCTGTACACTGATGCACCTACACACATCAACACACACATACGCACGCACACACACAAACATATACATATATATATACACACACGACACACTCACATTTACAAAAATGAAGCCAAAGCATTTCTGTTTGTACACTGGTTCAGTCAGAATAGGGTGTGCTGTGACTTATGGGCAAAGAGTCTGGGTAATAGGGTGGGGAAATGAGAACTATGTGACTGTGACACTGAGGGAAGACAGAAAAGGGAACCAGAGGAGAGAAAGGGGGAGGTCTGGGGATACCGCTCTGTGCTAAAACATTTGCTCATCATACATGAGAGAGATGGATAAGAGCCCCTATTATGCACAGCCAGTAGGCTGGTTATATGGGGAGCTCATCCGAGAAGACCACTCAGACCCAGTTTCCAGAAGTCTTTATTCCAGCTGGCCAGGACTACACTCAGGCATTCAGTACCCAAGTATAATGCCAAGCATTTAGAGTAAGGGGTTTTAAAAGGCAACAAACCACATCTTGGTATCAGGCTCAGCAGCTGGAAGGGGAGGTTTTGTGCAAGCAAGCAGTTTAACAGAAGCTCAGATAAGTTAGCTGGGGCAGCTTGACCTCAGGTACCTAGAGTAGACTTGGGTAATTTTCCACCGGGCTTTCCATCAAGGTGATCAAATTCTAGCTAAACCTAAAATGGTCCCAGAAAGAATGTAAGATGGAAGAACCTTTGCAGTCTTGTCCTGTCCCATTGTCATGCATATTAATTTTTTAATCCCCTGGGCACTTTGAGGAATTAGGTGTCACAGTTCCCTCATCAGTGAAGATAAGGGGTTTCTATGGCGTTCATCATCCTGCCTAAGGTCATAGTGCTAATGAATGACATGGTTACATAAAAGACCCAGACTTTGATTTGGAATCCCATGTGCTTACTGTGATTTTTTTGTGTCTCTGTTTTTCAGTGTGTAGATTACCCCAAACTGCCAATGTTTTCACCACTGTTAGAGTTCTGGCAAAGAGAACAGAACAGAGTTGAGGAGAGAGGCAAGGGCTTTTGCATCAGGTGTTTCTGACTATTGTTATGCCCAGTTCACAGTCACCCCCCCCCCCCAAACCAACAAGGAGACGGAGTCACGTGTGTAAAAGTAAAGTTTGAATTCAGACTCTGTGCATCCGATACATTGGCACATTCAGAGAGCCTTGAGTCAGTTGGGTGAGTTTTTATAATAGCAGAGGTTGAGGTGAGGGATTTCTAAGGTTCAGGACCCCTGATTGGCTGACATTTGTCTAGGGGTGTCTTGGTGAAGGGGGATGGGTGTGCTGGGCTAAGGGACATCAGGTGATCCTTTCTACAACAGTTGGAACATTAGGAATTTCTTTTGGATGGTCTGTTCCTGAGTGGTACCTGAGTGGTCTCACTTGGAACCCGCCAGGTATTGCCTTAGGGTAAGCCCTGGGCCTCTATTGAGCTCATCATAGCTGGGCCCTATAACTCTGAACCTTCTTTTTTGGAACAAACATCACAGTCCATTGTATTCTGGCCTTTGTTCACAAGAACACATCCAGGAGAGACAGCACCCTGGGGAGGTGAACACAGGCTCCCGAATCCATGGTGTCCTGGGCTCTTTGTGTACTGCAGTCCCCTTTGAGAGAAGCTTTGCAGGCTCTAAGCAACTATCTTGAAGGCCGGCTTCTTCCTGTCCTGACCCACAACTGGATACTTTTACAAGATTGGGTACCACCCCAAAGGCCACCTTACCACAGACTTACAGATACAGCCTTGGTGGCCAGGAACGTGACCAGACAGGAGAGTGGCGGCACGCTGGACCTCTGGGCAAAGGCAGAAACAGGAAGATAACAGAAAAAAGAAATAAAAAGGCCACCTACTAGAAGGATGACCATCATCAAGGAGTTCTGGGATTCTGATCCCCAATCCCCAGACCTTAATTCTGAGAATCCCTTGAAAAAGTCACCTTATGTTGTAGCTCAGTAATGGAACACTTGTCTGGCACACATGAGACCTGAGTTTGATTACCAGAAGTACATACACACAGAGAAGAGGATTTACTCATTTTAGACCTCAGTTGTAGGGTACCATCATGTGGGGTACCTTCAGTGGTCTGTTGCTTATTCCATCAAACACTTGTGCGCATTTTATATTTACTCTGTCTCTAGTGCTAAGGACGAACCTGGGGCCAGCTAGGCAAGTGGCCATCACTGAGCTGTGTGCCAAGCCTCTGTGTTTCCTTCTTCAACTGTTTCCAAAGGCCCAGAAGGGAACACGCTGGAATGCCTCCTTGCTTTCTTCCTGGCAGGCTCTCTTCCCAGAGGCAACCGTCTTTACAGCTTTTGGAGGCATCCTTCCATCTAAGCAGACACAGACACATTCACATTCTGTTCTATTTTCCCCACGTTGCACAAAAACCTTAGCACACTATTCTCATTGTTCTGTTTTTCCCCCCTTTGTGGTTGTGGAGGATTAATTAACTTTTCCTCTCAGTGAGAGCCGAGCTTGGGATGCTCTCTGGAGCAGGACTGGTCCTCATTCACATTCCCTTGTTTCTTCCTGGGAGGGCAGCAGGAGGGGCAGCAGAGGCCATGACCCTTTGAGAGGTTGTGCAACTCCCGGGGCTTCCAGAGAGCTCTGCTGTGACGCCTCTGTTAGTAAGCTTCCCATCATTGTGACAAAGATACCTGGAGTGATTAACACAAAGGAGGAAACATTTATTTTGGCTCAGGTTTTTGTAGGTTTCTTCTGAGGTCCCGGTCCTGATGCATTGGGTCTGTAGTGGGGCATCAAAGTGGGTGTGTGTTGTAATAAGATTAACAGGCTGGGCTGTGTCCCGCCACCCAGCTAGCTTTAACCGAAATAATTATGTGGAAACTGTATTCTTTTAAATACTGCCTGGCCCATTAGTTCCAGCCTCTTAACCCATTTCTAATAATCTATGTAGCACCACGAGGTGTGCTTACCAGGGAAGATCTTAACCTGCAGCTGTGTCGGGAGTGAGAATCATGGTGACTGCCTGACTCAGCTTCTTTCTCCCAGCATTCTGTTCTGTTTACTCCACCCACCTAAGGGTTGGCCTATCAAATGGGCCTAGGCAGTTTCTTTATTAATTAACCAATGAAAGCAACAGATTAGAAAGAAATCATTCCCACATCATCTCCCCTTTTTCTGTTTAAACAAAAAAGAAGGCTTTCATTTTAACATAGTAAAATTATATATATAGCAAAATAGTTATCTTGCTATATATAGCAAGAATTACAATTACAATATTTATATCTATTTTATCTTTTATCATAACTAAGGAAAACTATAACTCTATTCTTCAACTCCATCAAAGACTCTAGAAGGATATAATAATACCTAAGTAAAGAGGAAGTCCAAAACTCTAGAAATGACAGAGACATCTCGCTGCCTGGACAGTCACCCAAAGTTCCTCTGTACTGTTGGGGCATCCATCTTCGGCCTACAGGCCCATAGTATCCAGCAGACATTTCCATGAAGCAGGAAATTTCAAAGACAGTTCAGTTTTTTTTTTTTGTCCTGCAGAATGTCTCGCAGACTCTTTCATGAATCAAGAACCCCGAAAGATCATCTCACCTTTAGGCAAGTTCAGCAGTCCTCTCTCTGTGGGTTCTTTGTGTTCAGTTTATGCATCAGTCCAGGCAAGAGCAGTTTCTTGCCCAAATGGCTAACCAACTCCATAACGAGCCTCTTCGATGCTACTTCCTTTTGAAGTAGATTGGTGCTGCCAGGAGCAGACATGTCTCATTGTCATGAAAAGCCCTAAGTTATTAAAATATTTTAAATGCCATATTCTGCAGTCTTTGAAAGATATGAAGAATGCCTATCCAATTGAAATATATCTCTATATATCTAAGAAAATCTAACATGACTACAAGCTTTACTATTATTGATGATTATCCATTAACAACCTATATTTCCTAATTACACATTACGTTTTAAAAATGAACTACACAATCACAATACCTTAATCAATATCAGAAATACATATACATTTAACAAAATTGACCTTAAAGTCCATACCAATGCAAATTATTCATACCTATATCAGGTGTGTTCACCTTGTGATAGTCAAGAAGCAAAGAGAGAAGAAGAAGAGGACACTGGTTGGGGTCCCAATATCCTCTTCAAGGCCCCATCCCCAACGACCTAACTTCCTCCCATTAGGTTCTGCCTCCTGAAGATTCCATCTTAGCTTCAGGTGTTGGAGACCAAGCCTGTAATCCATAGGCCCTTGGCAGACATCTCAGATGAAGTAGAAAGGCCTGTTTTAGGCGGAGTCTCACTAACAAGCCACACGGTCTGACCTTTGCTTTAGTTCCTGCCTCACAAGGAGAAATGATAACATTTTCTGGAGGTGTTGAAAGGATGGACTGCGGACGTGTTGAGGAGCTGTTTCATGAGTTCTCGGGCCCTAGGCAGTCACAACCTAAGCCCTGCTCCTGACCTCTGCTCCCATGATCATTCACAGTTCATAGCAAGTCCCTGCTTCCTGGTGTAAAGAGAAGGCATCCCCAGCTTCTCACCACCCGGGAGGCTGAGGCGGGAGGATTGCCTTGAGTTTGAGGACAGTATGACTACACCGTGAGTTCTAGATCAGCCTGAGTCACAGTATGAAATTTGAAAGAACAATAAAAACAAACCAGAGTATGAAATGACAGTTTAATGAGATCTGTCTGCGAAGGCAGGAGGAAGAATGGGAAGATGGTCCTAGAGAAACCAAAGGAAGAAGCAAGCAAACAGATACCTGCGGATGGAGGAACTCTGGTGACCGTGTGTCGGTGGCCTCCAGTGCTTTGGGAGTGCAGGATAGTCTGAATTCCCAAGGATGGCGGGCCCAGTACCTACCCAGGACCCCAGTGACTTCTGTCCCTCATCTGCGGAGTGAGGAGTGTTTTAGTCACTTTTAACTGTTAGACTGTTGCATATTTACCATCGGAAGCATGTGGACACAACAGGAATGTCCTTCTCTGAGTGTAAAGATGGGGCTATGTCACCTAGCGGTGTTGTACCCATGAGTCAGTGTACCCCAACCAGTTGAAGGACAGTTAGAGAAACTGTAAGTTGTGTTCTTCTTTTTTGGAGGGGTGTTGAAGATGTTCTGAAACTAGCTCAGTAGACCAGACTCTCCTCAAACTCACAGAAATCCTCCTGCCTCTGCCTCCTGAGTGCTGGGACTAAAGGTGGGTACCACTGCTGCCCAACTGTACGTTGTATTCTTAACAGAAAAGTTCCTTTCCAGCATAGGGGCTTGAGGGCTGAGGTGTGGCTCAGTGTTAGGGAACTTGTCTGGTATGGGTGAAGCCATGGGGTCTCAGCAAAGAAAGCTGCTTGAGAACCACATTGAAGTTGGAAGTGACAAGAATTGGCAAGGTTTTGTGTAAAGCATGTGTTTATATCCAGAATTTGTCTAGACATAACATACCTAGTGTGTGATGGGTATAGAGTCTGTGTTTGTCAGGGGTCTGCAAAGGGTAGAGAATAGGAGGTGTGTGGATGGGTATGGGTGAGAGAGAGGAAGAAAGAGAGAGCTGTAGTGGAGGAGGGAGAGGTGTGTGGATGTCAGTCTGGGGTTGTAACCCACCTGGCAGGTCAGTTATTCCAGGGTCCCGAAGAGGCGCTATCTGAAAAGACACGGGTGGGAAAGAGGAACGAGGCCAAGCAAGATCTGTTGTCAAAGCCTCCGTTTATTAGCACAATGGCAGCAGCTTATATAGCCCTTGGATGAGGAATTTGGCTTGGGATGGGGGCAGGGGCATGGCAAGGGCAGGAAGGGACCTTGCTGGGGCAGCAATGGTCACGAGTCGGTCACGAGTGGTTGTTCACGAGGTCACGAGTCGACACACCTAGTGTTCTCCATGCAAGAGAAATCGTTCCCTCCGTGATTCCAACCACAAGCAGTTCTCTAGATAGTTGGAATGTGGGGCAGGTTCTGCTAACAGATAGCTCCCAAGACAGTTGGGTGTGGGGTGGGCTCCACCAACAAACAGTTCTCAATACAGTTGGGGTGTGGGGCTCTCCGCAAACATCCCCAGGACAATGGTCCCTGCAATACTTTTTGGGGGAAATGGCTCCTGACAGGTATGGGTGAGAGAGAGAGGAAGAAAGAGAGAGAACTGTAGTGGGGTGTGCGTAGATGGGCATGGGTGAGAGAGAGGGAGAGAGAGAGAGAGAGATGGTGCGGGGGTGGGGGCAATGGTAAAAGAGATCTTTAAAAAAATTTTTTTAAATTATGTCTCGGTGGGAGTATCTGCTTATAAGTGCCGTGGCCATGGGATCAGAGATGTCAGGGTCCCTGGTGCTAGAGTTAGAAAGGCGGTTTGTGGTGTGGATGCTGGGAACTGAACTGGGACCTTCTGGAAGAGCAGCATGTCCCATTAACGGCTGAGTCAGAGAGATCGATTCTTAAGTAATTGAATCTTGTAATGAGAGTTTTAGTGAGTCCAAACTGCATGTGACCATCAGGACAGAGACCTAGGGAGAGGTCCATGCTGCAGTTCAAGTTTGTCCAGGTTCTGGTCAGTCCTTCAACAGACTGGATGGTGCCCACCCATATAACCTGCTTTGTGCAGAGTATGCAAATCTCAGCGCAAATCTCTTCCAACCAAATGTTTGAACAATTGAGGACTGTTGTCCAACACAGATGACTTGTAAAAATCCAGCACTCAGCGGGAGACAATGGAGAATTTGAGACTAGCCAGGGCTACACATTGAAACTCTGTCTTTAAAGAAAAAGAAAGAAAGAAAAGAAAAGAACGTGACAATCTTTAATGAAATCTTTAATCCCAGCACTTGGAAGGTGAAGACAGGCAGATCTCTGTGAGTCCAAGGCCCATCTGGTCTACAGAGTGAGTTCCAGGCCAGCCAAGGCTAAAAAGAGGTTCAGTTTTGGGGGTGGGGAGTGGAGTAGGGGTGAACCTAACGGAACACTGGGAAGGTACTCCAGAGGTAGCGCGTTTGCCTAGCATGCGCAAGGCTCTGGATTCGGTCAGTAGCGTGCCAGTTAAGAGCAAAACAAAATGAACCTTCAAGCAGGCACTAGCCTGGGGTCCCCACCCCTTGATGTCTGGTTAAGATTGTCTCTTATCTTTGAGCCCTGCTTTGTGGAAAGTCTCAACACTTCCCCCAGATTTCAGAGGCTCTGTGAGTGGGGGGGGGGGGGGCTGCACTTTCTGTCTGGCCCTTGATTTCTACTTCTATCTAGACAACCATCTTAACACTTTCGTCATTCCTGTTTGTCAACCCAGCCACTGTCTTCCTTTATTTCAAAATCCACCCCCTCACGACCTCACCCAGAGGCAAAAGTGGTGCGCGTGTGAATGTGCATATGTGTGTGTGTGTGTGTGTGTGTGTGTGTGTGTGTGTGTGTGTAACTTTCCAATGATCTGGCAGGACAGAAAGAGTTTTACACTGTAGTGAGCATATCTTGAAAGTGGGTGTTAGATCACAGGCCTTATAAAATGAGAGTGGCCTGGTGTGTCCACAGCTCCGGCTCCTGATTGCTGGGTAGCTATTTCTTTTGTTCCTGTTTCTTGTTTCTTAGAGCCCTCCTGCCAATACCCCAAGCTTCTAGGATGAAATTCCTCCGTTTCCGTTGGCTGTGAAGTCCCACCCTCTCTTGCCCTGGCTCTCAGCCTCCTGTTGGGTGCTCACAATAGGTATC